GAAAACCCATAGAATTCTTGCTAGGGCTGGGCTGGGCTGGGCTGACACAAAGGCTGATTCACTCTGGGCCGCCTTTGGAATCAGCTAGGTAAGTAGCGTGGGAGCCTAAGTGCATGGAGGCCTCCAGAAAGCCAGCCAGCCAGCCAGCCACAAAATGACACTGGAGCATGAGGGGCCTGTTTCCTGTTTACTGCAAATATTATATCCACCTACTAACCCTCATTTTCACAGAAGGAGTGTTAGTATATCCAAAAAGTATTTCACTGATTGCAATGGGCTCTGGACCAGGGTCTCAAAATTTTTGGCAACATTTTTGAAATGTTTCTCCAAATGATAGACTTTGATTATGAGTACTTTGAATGTCATGAATGAAAAAAGCCTACAATAGGAATTTGATGCTCACAGAAAAGAGAAGGCAGTCATGCTAACCTGGAACTGGATTTTAGTGTTCAAGCACTAGGTGTCAGAATTAACAGTAAGTAAACACATTTGTTGCAAAACTCAGAAAATACTGTGGTACCAACAGATGTCCAGCATCGTGATGTTCAGGTTCAGTTTCTGACTTGGGTTCTTGCTTACAAAATTGGAGGGCGGCATTAAATCGCTACGTGTATTGTTGTGAAGAAAGCATATTGTATGACTAAGACCAAGCAGGAAGAACCCATGCAATCTAACTTCATTTGCTTCAGACAGTTGAAATGGTTTCTGTTAACACTTTTTTCTGCATATCATCAATTTGCTTTTGACTCATATTCCTCCTATTGTCGCTGTAAGCTTACTTGTTGTTTTTTCTTTCCTTTTCTTCATGCTGTCGTTTAGAGCCCTACAGAGAGACAAGTATGGGAGTAAAGCTAAACATTGCATATCAAATGTAATTTTTTTAGTTCACTTTTTAATGCATCATATATCAATGATGTAGATATTTAAAACAGTTCATCTGTCACAATGCAGAAATCAATACTACTAAACCATATTCAATAAATATTCATAGAGATTAGATATTTCTGTTAAGTCGATTTTCATTTTGTCTTTCATCCAATATGTTTTAGTTTGTGTAACTGTGTATGAAAATGATTTTTTTTTAATTAAAAACATTTTTGTCTGCAAAGTCATACTGTTTTCTCCTATTGCTGTGGCACATTTCATGAGAGCTGCACTTCATTTTCAATGCAAGGCATCACCTTTATTTTCCTTTTTTTTTAAAAAAAAAGAGTCTTGCAGCTAAGAAATCTATTCATTAGCAGAAGAAAGAAGAAACAAGGCCGTAATGAATAGCTGTAACCACTCTGGAGTAGCAGTTACAGAGAGATCTTTGGAACTACCAGTTGCTCTGGCCCAGAAACACTAGAAACTAGAAGGTTCACAAAGTGTTATACTGTGAAAGCAAATTACTTCATTCTGCACCTGTGAGAGCTATTTCTACCCAGCACTCTTTCGGATGCAGGCTTTTGGACTTGGATCTATATCCAGCAAAAGTCGAAATGGCAAGAGATATCTTGGTGCCGAGGTAGCATGCACAGTGACTAAGCCCTGTGCCTTTGCCTCACAGATGAAGACTGAATTCAGGTTTTTCAAAAGATACAGCAACAGTGCATTAAACTTTTCTCTTGCTGATGTGAACGGAGAACAAATCTTCCCAAATTGCTTTTCTAATCCAGTAGGGTTGGTTCAGCCTTGTTTGTTATCTCTGGCAACAGCATCTGAACTAAAAGGAAAAGCATATGGAAGTCTTACTTAAGTCTTATGCTTGGTGTGCATCTGAAGGATTAATTACCGATACCCAGGCGGTTCTGAGCATGCAAAGGCCTGCTGCTGCCTCCCACTGGGCATGTCACCCAGATGGCTCCAGCAGCTTGCTCTTTCCACGCTTCCGAGCCCTACCAAGATATGCCAGGGAACCCAAACAGGGATGCATTCCTCATAACTTTAACTGGACCAGCTAAAGATAACAAAGCATTTCGTCCTTGTGTGTTACAGAACCTTTTGTCATGCCTAACATTGCGAAAGAAAAAAGGAGTGCTCACCCTGTTTGTGTGGGGCATGACAGAAACTCAGTTCGGGGGACCCTGAAGTCTTAAAGGATTATTTTGGACTACTTTGCTTCTCTGTGTCCAGTGCAAATGTCCCAGATAACAGCAAGGCGTGCTGGTACAAAGAATCAATTTCCATTCTCCTTTTGAAAATGTAAAAATATGCAGTTATTCAGCTCTCAATCTTAGTAGCCTTTGCATGAATAAAACCAGAGACATATTTAGAGCTGTCTGACACATATTGATGTCTGTCAGGAACCAGGCAGCATAGGGACGAGTAGGGGCTGTGTAGTCCACGCAGCTGGCTTCCTGCAAGTGGGAATGGCACAGTCCTCGGGGGCAAGGAGCCTTCTGCTTGCCCCCGGCCCTCCTGCCGTGAAACTGGGAGCAGGAAGCTTCCACTGGGCTGAGCCCTTGCAGCATCTCTGCGTGTGGCCCAGGGCACGCTTTGCTTGGCATAACGGCTGCATTGTCCAGAAAGCGTATTTATATAACAAATGCTTCAACCTCTCCTCTGAGCAAGGGTCAGCCATTCACCTAAACAGCAATAGGACGTCCAATGGCAGATGCACTAACAAAGCCCTCGTGGGCTGCCTGGGCAGCAAAGTCCCAGTGCAATTCTGGCAGATTTGGAAGCTATCAAAGGGTTTGTTCTCCCTTCACAGGAACTACCAACCAATTTGGGCACTGAAAATATGTCAAGAGCAACTTTTAGTTGCAATCTTAAACAAACATAAAAACCAGTGTAATTATAGCCACATGCGACATACATGGCGCTTCCAGGTGAGGCTTTTTTCACACACCCCCTTCATGGAATGTCGTGGGAGAGCCAGAGGACCACTGCTTCTATTCAAAACACTCTGTTGTTTCCCAGCACTTTTTCCCTTTCTTCTTCATGCAAAAAATGTATTCAGTTAAGAAATGACAGACTAGCTGCACCGTGACTTTTAAGGTATATACCAGGCTGCCCTTTTGTGGAAGCACCCTGAGCAGGTATTTGCATAACTAATCCCAGCACCACCAGAACGATTTCTTCTTCCTCAGTCATGGAGTGTAGATGCAGATGCCATCTGTGAAATCTTTATTATACTAGCAGTAAGGAAACCAGCACCAAAAAAGATCATCTTAAATGCAAGATACATGACATGAATAAGAGAAGAGTTAAATCTTCCAGAATAAGATGCAAAAACATAACGGTGTTATTACATTCTTCTAAAAAGCTACAGAAAAACTAAATGGACGCATTCACAGGTGAAACCACTAACACAAGCCCACATCCGATCCTAAGAGATGGGTGGAGATGGGAGGCTGAGGAGGCAGAATCCCTGGCCAGTGAACCACGACTGGGCAGCAGCTGCGGGGTGGCTTTAAGTTGCCATTTAAATAAAGCCTTTTTCTTGGTGCTGGTTTTTCCTTTTCTTTATTTTGGCTCTGACTGGTTTCCGCGGGAGTGAAAAGCACAACAGTTCCAGGATTGGCATAGTTTTCCTCAATCAGGGTTCTGTGCACGGAAGGAGTGGGCTTTAGAGGCAGGACCTGGATGGGAATTTATTTGGGTTGGTAAGCAAGCGGGTAGAAATTAATTGAAGAATTTATTTGGGGTTGCTCTGGATGTTCACCACCCCCATGCAGTAGCCACATATGCTAACTTATAGCAATGGCTACAGATGATTTATTTATTTATTTGTCTGTCTGTCTACCTATTAAACATAAGTTACCAGTTTTAGGACACTGTGTTGTTTTTATTGCTGTACCCTGTTGTGTTGGGAAGGTAGCAGCCAAGCATGAAATGGCGGTGGAGAGGGTACGGTTCACTGTGCGCTTCGCAAGTGAAGTCATACACTTGGCTACCAAGTTTAAGGGTAAGGCCATTAAGGGTTAACACAGGAAAAGATGCAGGTGGAAGGATGCAAGCCACTGTCCACAGGACCTCTGCCCAAGTCCCAGTCCCATCCCCACTTATCTACACGGGGCTGGTTTTGTCCTAAAGCAAAAGCAGTGGCGTCTCTTCTGCCTTGTCTAGTTTGGCCCTTAAAGCAATGCAATAAACCAGTGATGTTTCTGCATCATATTCGGGAAATCTGTACACGTTAACGCTTCTTAGATTTGATTTTCATAGCAGCAAGGAAAATTAGGCAACAGTGGACTCCAGGTGCTGTTGGGCTACAGCACCCATCACCTTTGACCAGTGCATTTTATATTTTATATTGTATATTTGTAATTTATTTTAATGTATATATTTTAAAATGTGATGATGATTTAACTTATTTGTCGTAAGCCGCCTCGAGGCTTCGGCGAATGGGGTGGCATAAAAATGTTTTAATAAATAATAAATAAATAAAAATAAAATGTGCTGACTGAGGCTGATGGGAGCTGGACTCCAGTATCACCTGCAGGCCAACAGGTTTTAAACGGTTAAATTAGGGATTACAACTATATTACAAGGCTTACAAGGTGATTGTCCAGAACTAATTTCTTATAGACAGAAGCACACCAATGTGATGCCAGGTTCAAAACTTTGCCATTTCTGGACCTTGCATCTCAGTTGCCTCCTGCAGGGATTCTGGGCATGATAAGTGGGATTATATCATGTTACATGTGAGTTTTACACCTCCAAACCATCCTTCTCATGCTCAAAGTTTCTGTACTAAGTCAAGATTGTTAGAAATACTCTTTGAGCTAAACAAGGTGATCCCACTTCAGCTTTAACATGAAAAGAAATGACAGCTAGGAAGGGTTCTGTGCAGCTTCTGCCGAGACCCTTTTTCAATAAAGAATGAAGCAAATCTAGTCCACACCTTTGCTTGCCTTGCAAACCGATAATTTGTGCATTGCTTTTCCTTTCCCATCCCCCCTACATTATTGACTGTATAACGTAGCCAAGCAATTTAACATTGTTCCTTAAGGCAATAGACCCCTGTGCATATGCCTGCTGGTACAAGTCAACTTGTTTTGTGTAATATTTTTCAGAGGGGCTTCTGAACAATGCCAGGGATACAAGTGTCATGGATACTCTACCACTGAATGGTAACCACGGCAATAGTTACAGTATTGCCAGCAGCGAGTACCTGAGCAACTGTGTGCAAATCATTGACCATAGCTATAACCACAGCGAGACAGCCTTAGAGAAAAAGATCCTGAAAGAACTCACCTCCAACTATATCCCTTCCTACCTGAACAACCATGAGTGCTCTAACGAACAGAGTAGGAACCTAATGAACAAGTTTGTGAATAACCTAGGCAGCGGGAGCAAGGATGATGCCATCGTGCTCGACGATGCCACCTCTTTCAACCAAGAGGAGAGCCTGGGCTTAGAACTCATCCACGAGGAGTCCGATGCCCCGTTGCTGCCCCCTCGGGTTTACTCCGCAGAAAACCATCCGCCTCACCATTACGGCAGGAGACGGATTCCGCAGGAACACAGCGAGAGCTTTTTCCCCTTGCTAACCAATGAGCACACAGAAGAGCTCCAGTCGCCCAATAGGGATTCTCTTTACACGAGCATGCCTGCTCTGGCTGGCATGCCGGTCACAGAAAGCGTCACCACCAGTACTCAGACCGACCCCCCGCCAGCCAAAAGTGGTGACGCGGATGACGTGTACTACAAGAGCATGCCAAATCTGGGCTCCAGGAACCACATCCAGCAGCTACACACTTACTACCAGTTGGGGCGAGGCAGCAGTGACGGATTTATAGTTCCACCCAACAAGGACGGGGCCCCAGCAGAAGAAACCTCGAAAGGACCAGCTCATTTGGTCACTAGTCTATAGAACACTACAGAACAAACATTTTAACAAAACAAATGCCCCAGTCCAGCGCCTGGATTATTGTTTGGAGTTAAATCAAAGCGGTGGTAATATTGTGTATTCTCCTACTTCATGCTGTTCTAGACCACAAACAATTCTCATACCTTTTTAATGGAATTTGTAGGCCCACCCAGGAAGAATGCTAACTGCTGTGACCCCCCCTCTTGCCCCTCCCCGCACCAGCCCCACATAAGAGAGACTTCAGTATGCTAATGAAAGGGATGCAACAGGAAATGGTCCACTGCGTGGCCTTCTCAAATTATACTGTGTTTGTTTCAGCATCTTTGGTTGCTCTCTTCTTATTACCAAGGACCTGATTTACAAAAGGCCAAACATGCATTCGAAACTACTAGCGATGATGCATCTAGATGGGAGTGCTGCACAAAACAGAAGCAAAAATAGCAAAACTGTTTATTCTGATTCTGTATCACATAATAGTTTTTTGGTCTCACCACTTGATTTAACCACAGCTCTCTCAGCTGGGGAATAAACAAAACTTAATGAAATAGAAAGGAAGTCTGTAATTGTATGCTACACAGCATATTTTTATGTTTTTCTGTATTAACTGATAATTCTAATGACAGAAAAAAATGAAACAATTCCTATGTAATGTACAGATACTAGCATTGCACATATAGTCCGCTTTTTGTTCAGCCAAAATTTGCGTCCCTGTTAATGTAGTGGAAAAACAAACAAAACTTTTCTGTTGTGCTGGTCTTGCAAGTTTGTCTACCAGTAGAAGCAAGATTTTTCATGCATCCTTTTTTGGCCATTTTTCCATTAAAATATTTCACTGGGTAAAACATAGTAACTCTCTTTATACAGACCTTCTGTTTCCAGTTATGTCACCACACTTCAGTAGTCTGAGATATAGATATATAGATATATATATTTCCAACACTTTATTTCTATAAATTTGCCAACAGACCTTTTTCCAATTAGAGAACTGGACAAACGTTTTATGTTTGCAGTGCACAACCAGTGAGCATTTGTGGCCAGTAGTCCGTGACCCAGGCATCAGGCCAACCTTTCCAGGAGTCTGGCTATCACGACGAGGCTTCTGCATGTGAACACCCGGCCTCTGCAGGAGGACAAGTTGAACCCCCAGGCTAGTAACTTTTCTGCAGTGGTTTGAAAAATTGACTAACAAAGATTTAAGGGGAAAAAAACTATTTTGAAGTGGTAAAAAAAATCCTTCCATTATTTTTCCTAATAGGAAATGTATTTATTTGACAAGATTTAAAGTAATGTAGGCCTTCCCAGGAGGTAAATTAGCAGCACAGATTCTACTTTTTTTTAATTTATGATGCATTTTGTACGGTCACCAAGTTGAATGACCTCATTACTAATATTTGTTGTAATAGTGAAATTTGTTTGCCAACCAATAAACAACTGATTAAGATTTAGAAGGCACTGTATGTGTGTCCTGAACAGTCTCTCCTATTTATCTCCCTCTTTCCATCTTCAGCAAAAGGATTTTAGCTCTTTTAGAGCTGAGGATGCAAATGAAAGGATTATCCAGCACAGAATTATGCAAGAAAATATAGAAAAATTAAATTAGTGACTAGAATCTTGAGGCAGGCACAGGAAAGACCTGATTTTTCAACAGGGATCATGCAACTGTTTGTCTGCTTTAGCTTAGGCTTCCACATTAAAAGGGCTTTAGATAATACTTTTCGTCATACCTTTTCATACATTTCTTTATCTCATACTTGCTGATATTAATAGGCCTCTGGGCCAAACTAGATGTGACATGACTTGCCTGGATGCAATTAATGTGCATTCACTTGATTGATTGATTGATTGATTGATGTTATGTATATAGCAGCCAAGGGGGAACCCCACACAGTCCCACAGCTTCTCAGGATTCCCCTTGCCTGATTACAGAACAAAAAAAAGGCCCATTAATTGCATTCAGGCCATGAACGTGATGTCTGGTTGTGCCCAGTTCTGGCTCCGAGAGAAAAGCAAGCTCCATATGAGCCTCTCTCCAAGGTCCCTTGTGGGTTTTTGTTTGTTTGTGTGTTCTGTTTTTAAGTATTTGGCCATTATTGTGATGCCTGGAAAGGAGGCATTGCTCTCCATTTCTTTAGCCTGCTTAACCATTTGGGGAAAAAGCCCTCCAAATTTCAGGATGACTTGTGTCCTCTGAGAGATGTTGACAGAAACCCGCTGGCACTCCATGCCCCAAACTAAGTGCTCTTTTGTTCATACATGCTTGCAGGATTTTGCAAAATAAAATTTAAAAATCCGGGAGTCTACTCGAAGTTTCTTTATTGAGACAGATGGATTCAATTACTTTTCTAGTGACTTAACTAGGAAAATGTTTAGAATAAATCAACAAACTAAAGCAAGACCGAGTGATTCAGGAGATGCTATCTGGCCCATAAAATTAATCCAAGGACTCCTTTGGTGAGCGCTGTGTGCAATCACAACCCTTGCTTCTAGCAACCATGGTTCTGTAAACTCTGATGAGAGCAGCCCTGTATTTCTCCATATCCCAGACGTTTCAGTCTTGTTCAGATGACAATTGAGGCTGAATCATGTGTGGCGGAAGTGAGATTACAGCCTCCCCTCCTCCTCATATGGCTGAAATGCCCATCAAACCATGGAAGTTTGGAACCAGGCCCAGAAGACACAATTCTGCTCCTCTTGCCTCTCCTCCTTGGCCTACCTCCTTGGTTTTCATCTCCACAAGAGCTATTTCTAGTACTGCCGCAGTGTGTCAACAAAAGAATGGCGTGTTGACTGGCCTTGTGTTCTGATTGTTTATTTAGAAGGTTTTCTCCAGACAAATGTGTTTATCCTTACAACTGTGGAAGCCCCTGCATGCCATCAACTGTGTTCATCTGGGGCCTTGTCTGGATGCACCTAAGTTGGGGACATGCTTACCTTAGCCTCACATGTTCAACGGGCTAGAGGCAGCTGTAGTTGCAGATGGACCGAGACTGTGACAGAGAAGTCCCATCTGCGGTCGGACTAGTTCAGCTTAGCAAGCTACCCTGAGACAGCTGAAGGTATCTAACAGGACGATGACTTAGTGAGAAGAGTGCCCCTGATTCGTGCAGAGTTATTGAGGAAACAGCCTTGCATTATTTGCTGCGCAAGTCTTATCTTCTAAGCTGTAAAGCTGCCAGTGACTGAGGAGCAGCCTGTTTGACGAAACGCTGTGAAGTAGATTGCAGGCTATTACAATTCGATGCCACAAACCCCATGCCCAAAAAGTCTCAGGGAATATAAAGTATACAGTAGGTGTATGTATATATAATATCAGTGGTCCAGATACTTGAAGCATGAATAGTATACCTAATATTATTAAAAATACACCGCATAAACTTGATTATCTGATAATAAAGGGATCCTCCAACAAAATCTCCCAGTGTGTACCTACCACATTGGGCTTCTTGTGCTCAGAGTTCCAGCCAGCCTGAACATTGACCAAGGTGTGCAGGGTGGATGAGTGGGGGGACCTTCTCATTTCCACACTCCCCCTGCAGTTTGAGAGAGCACTTAGAGCGGTCCACACCTGAACAGTTTTTGCTCTGTACTGATGAGGATGATGGCATCTCTGGAGAACAGGCAAAGGAAGGGGTGCTTTCCACCCTTCCTTTTGTCCTGAAACATCCCTGGACAGCTCAGGAAAGAATGGACCCTCATGGTGACCATCTGCCAACCCCTTTTGTAATCTCATGGCAGCCCCCTGCAGTCCCCAAAGCCCACCACAGTCTTCGCCATCAGCACTCCGGTGCCTGACTTTGCTCGCTGTCTTCTCCTTCCCAGCCCTATTTTCTTTTGTATTGTACAGGCATGTGATGCCTTATTTCTTTGTAAGTTGCTATGGGAGCCTTTTTGGTTAAAAGGTGAGATAAAAATGTTATAGCTAATAATAGCGATACCAGATGTTTAGTTCTTTTAGATTCTTTCCTCATAGCAGGACAAGCATGGAGCTGTCCATGATATACACGGGAAACATTCAGGATTTTAGCACAGGTGTGAATCTGCAGTAGCAGAGCTTTTCTGACTTTGATATTCAGTGAAATCCCAGAAATTCAGTAAGATTAGCTCTTCTTTATCCATGTATCACTGTATTTTCAACCCAGAAAGCACAGAGATCCTTGACAAGCCATTAAAAAGGTATTTTACGTAAGTCTGTGCTTCTGCATATTTAGGAAATATGTCTCCATCCCCTGCCCTGCTGGCCCAAATGCATTTTCACATGGTCCTTCTGTTTTAGGTGGCTGTCAACCTGCATTTGCTATTACAGGGATAAATTGGGACCTGAACGGAAAAGTTGCTGTGTGAGGTGATCTCGTTCTGGATGCCAGGCACTCCATTCCACACACTTTCCCTTTTGGCCCACCAGTCCCTGAGCATGCGCAGTCCTCCTGGAATTATTTGGGGGGAACCCTTCCCCTTGGGCATTTTTGTACTCCTGCAAACCTTGAGGTCTCCCCATGTCTGCCATGTTCTTCCTGGATGTGGCTGTTTTGGCCATGTAAGTTCAGGTTCTCTTCCTGAAGATCAGAAACATAAGATGAGGATAATACAAGTGAGACACGCAGGAAATGTTGCAGCACGGAGCATTCCTGTTCCAGGAGACTCGATATCATTCCCTCTCACCTGTGATTTTCCAGTCCTCCCACTCTACACACCCAGTCAGCATCCTGCACTGACTGAGCATGCCTGCTGAGCTGTTGGAACTGCACAGAAGGTTGTGTCTGCAGGATTTTTCCCTCTCACGGTTTGTTTTTGGGGGGATATATCTGCAAAGTTCAGGAGTCCCCTAAGCCTGCTGATAATTCCCTCTCTGCATGGGTGACATTGTTTCTGCTAAATAAAAGAACAGGCACACAGAAGGTGAGGGGTCTGTTCATTCCAGCAGCCCCCACAACAAAATGTTGTCCTGTGCTTGTGGTGCTTGTTGCCTGAGCATTTGAGCGAGTTGGGGAAAAAACCCCAAATAC